TCAGATGTCGCAGGGACGAGGGGTTCGTTCGTGCTTTAAACATGGTGGTGTGGTGGGAAGGGACGTTTTAGGGTGGGTGATATGGGGGTACAACCAAGTGACGTGCCAAGGGGGAAATCGCGCAGGAAGGACCGACCGATAGCCAATTGAGGGCGGCGCGAAGTGGGAGAGAAGAAGCTGTGCGAGTTGAGCTGGGCGAGTGAGCGATTGAGCTTTTTTGCGTCTTGCGCTTGCGTCTTGCGTCTTTGCGTCTTGCGTCGGCGTTGGCGTCGGCAGCAGCTACGGGTGGAGGAGGAGCTGTCGTGATTTGTTGAGACGCGGCTGGCTTCACCCACGTCACAGCGTCAGGATAGCTCTTGTCTTGTCTTGCCCTGTCGTCGCCCCCCCGGTACGTGATTCATTGCCGGCCACAAGAGGTCAACCTTAACAGCTGGCACGCGAAATTGGCGTGCCACCAAGATGGTATCTACCAGTAGTGGAGGGGCAGTGCAGGGGACGATATTTCCGGCACTCGATTCTGTGAGCAAACGCCATGACCACCAGCTCCAGCGCTCTTGCTTCTGATGCCTCTTTTTCCCCACCTGTACTTGCACTGTTTGGCTGCCACCCCCGCGCACTTGCCCTCCTCCGTCAATGGAAAGCATCAATCAGACTTTTGCAAAGAGCAAGGCGCAACCCCTCTTTCCCTGCCTCATAAAAAAACCCTCTGCTGACTCGCCCTGGGATGAGGCCTGGCAAGAGAAGGTTCATTGACTCACATGTCGAGGCACTTACAGTAACACTGGTCGAGGCACTCGTCCCAGATCTCGCTACATCTGTGCCGAAACAAGACCGCCATCATCGGCGTCCCACCACACCACTAAGGTAGGCAAGCTAACAGGCCTTGCAGGCCAAGCTAACAAGGCACACCTACACGTACCTTTCCTCGCGCTGATAAGAAGACCGAGCGAGAAAAACGGTCAACGGTGGGGATGTTCCACACGAGCCCATCGATTCCAAGATCGTATGCTTTGCCTTTGCGGCGCGCGCGCGCACGTTACGCAAGACGACGGCCCCCTCGGACAGATATTTCGAGCATCGACACGGCTGTCGAACAGGCCAAGCACAGCCAAGTGCTTGTCTGTGCCTCGTTGTAAGCTGACCTGACCGACATTGTGATGCGTCCTAAGGATGATTGAACCAAAGTGTTCCTTCTTCTCACAGCGTGGCCAAGCAGTCTACGGACCCATGTTGAGAAAGACTGCCCACCGCCTATCCTCGGCATTTGACTGCGAGGCTCACCTGTACCTTGGAAAAGTCTGCCGACTAGATCCGCCGCGTCTTTTGTACCGAACGCAACGTCTGTCCCCTTCCTCGGGCATATCATTGCTCATACTGAATCCAACCATGCCAGCGGGGACAGCCTCGCCGATGACCGGAGGGCAGATCTGTCTCGGTTTTCGTACTGTGAACAGCACACGACTAGCTTGTTTCTTCTCCTTGATGGCCTGTGCGGGCCCGTCGTGACAGCGACGCGAAGCTCTACAACACATGAAGCAGGTCCAACCTTATGCCTATGTTTTCCAACAAGAGGAGATATTCAACATCTGGGACAATGCTGTCAGTGACCTGGAGATCAGCCAACTAAGAGATGGTACCAGCAGGTGCTGTCCAATCAACTGGGTTGTCATGTCCGTGAAGGGAAATGGACCGATGCGAATATCGTACGATTGATGCGTCGACGGTAAGTGGGCCAACCTTCACTCAAAATTGTGCCAACGCGGGGGTTGATGACAGCTACAGACAGCTACGGAACAGCTCCAAGGTGAATGGCACCACCCGAGCCTCAAACGAGAGTGGCCACTAGACTCGGTCGCTTGTGCTATTGTCGTAGGTAGGGCTATGAAAGATCGAAGCGCAAATACTGCATGGATATCGTTTTGATTCTACGTATATTCATCACCTTTGTCGCTTTGAATGCATCATTCCTCGCCGGGGTCGTGTGTCTCCTCGTTCTCGAACATGGGAATGTGCATCTCGCGATGAGGAGCTGGTGATGTTGGGTGAGTCGATGAGTCGACAGTTGAGCGTCAAGTGAGGACGACTCGATCACCGTCCGTGCTGCGGTGGCTCGGGTGGCTCATGCTTTGTGGAGCCGTCATGATGGCTCATCGAAGACACAGTCGGATGCAGCCAATCAACCCTTCCAAAACTCAGCCAAGACGGCTTGGCCTGGCCATATCCGGGTTAGCGCCTCACAATGTCTACGTTCAACCAAACCTCCCTTGAGAACAACCATACGGCAGGCACCTTGCAGTGTCATTGCGTGTTGTTTTGATGCTCCTGCCTTTGAAGTAGAATTAGATATCGTCTTGTACTTAAGAAACCAGATTCCTCTGATTACAATGTGCCTCCTACAAGAAGCTTCCAACACTTTCCAACAGCAACAACTCGCACAAGCGTCCCGCACGCAATATGGACGCTCCAGATCATACTCAGCGCCTCGTTGACGATCCTGACGGCTTTGACAAATCAGCAGCGCCAACCGTGGTGCATTCACAGATACCTTCCGTTTCTTCCAATCTCCTGAACAAGAGGTCACTCGAAATGCATCAGGAGAAGGATACCAGCTTCGCACCTCGTCGCTCGACAGAACTCGACACAAAGCCCGACGGCATCGTTGAGCCGCCAATGGCTGATACAACCCCAGACTCGGACGAGTATCCATCTGGCATCAACCTCGTCTTCATTGTCGTGGCCCTCATTCTCGCCATTTTTCTTGCCTCTCTCGATATGGTAGGCATTTTCGTATCTATCGCTGCCAATTCCAAAAAGCTGATCCTCTAGACCATCGTCGCTACCGCCATCCCCAAGATCACAGACGAATTTGGCGGCATTGAAGATGTCTCCTGGTACGGTGCCGCCTTCTTCATGGCCAACGGCGGTTTCCAGTCCTCGTGGGGCAAAGCCTACAAGTACTTCTCTCTCAAGTGGACATTCCTCGCTGCTGTCTTCGTCTTTGAGCTTGGCAGCCTCGTTTGTGGTGCCGCTCCCACCTCGACCGCCCTCATCATTGGCCGCGCCATAGCCGGCCTCGGCGCCGCTGGTCTCGGTACCGGCGCCTACACCATCATCGCGTTTGCCGCGCCGCCAGCGAAGCGCGCCTTGTACACCGGCTTCGTCGGCGTGTCTTACGGTGTGGCTTCCGTGCTTGGGCCTCTTCTCGGTGGCCTGTTCTCCGATCACGCGACCTGGCGCTGGTGTTTCTACATGAATCTCCCTATAGGCGCGGTCTCGGTTCTTATCATTGTGTTCTTCTTTCACGCCCCCGCCGCTGCTAAGCCCGTCGAAGCTACTCGGCGTGAAAAGCTGCTCCAGATGGACCCCATTGGTGTAGCTCTTGTCATGGCCGCCATCATCTGCTACATCCTGTGTCTGCAGTATGCCGGACAGACCGAGGCTTGGAATAGCAGCACGGTCATTGGTCTGCTCGTAGGGTTTATTCTTCTGTATGTGGCATTCGCCGCGTGGGAATACTTCCAAGGCGAGCGCGCCATGCTCGTACCCCGCCTGTTGAAGGTTCGCCCAGTCGGTGTCAGCTGTGCCTACACCTTCTTCTTCTCCGGATCGTACTTCCTCATCATCTACTACCTGCCCATTTATTTCCAGAGCGTCAATGGTGTGACCCCAACCATGTCGGGTGTCAGGAACCTGCCGTTGATTATCGGAGTCACCATCTCCATGATCATTTCCGGCTTCTTCATAACGCGCACAGGCATCGCTACCCCACTCAAGGTAGTTGGCGCCGCTATCACTGTCATCGCCTCTGGTCTTCTGTACACCTTTGAGACGGACACAGACACGGGCAAGTGGATTGGGTACCAGCTGTTTGGCGGCGTTGGCTGGGGTATCGCCTACCAGGTCCCCATTATCGTTGCCCAAAGCTATGCCGACCCTACCGACGTCTCGACCGTGACAGCCATGGTTCTTTGTAAGTTGTCCTCAAGGTCTTTTGCGGCTACAATGACTAACGGGCTAGTCTTTATGAACCTCGGGGGTTCGTCATTTGTTTCCGCTGGACAATGCGCCTTTGTCAACACGATGCTGCGGTCTCTGCCGAACACGGCACCCAACGTCGATCCTGCAACTGTTGTGGCAACTGGCGCCACAGATATTCGACGGGTCTTCTCCGCTGATGAGATGCCCGGCATCTTGGATGCGTACATGGCTGGCATCAAAATCGCCATTGCGATCGCTATTGGAGCCACAGGGCTTGCTTTGCTGACGAGTTTGCTGAGTCGGTGGGAAAGGTTGAACGCGGAGAAGGTGAAGGAAGGAGGGTCCACTGCATGAGTTGATTTTGACGGTTTGCATCTGATGATACCCACTTTCAGCCTTCTTTCTGTCTCTCTAGACCCAGCCTTGCTTGTAGCGGCCTTTTCTGTCGGTTTGGTACTACCAAGGTTGAATAATCATAGCTTGCTTTTGCGATTACTAAAGTCCAGACTGCAGCTCTCTATCAGTTGTACCAGCTGTTCATCTCAATATCGTACGGCTATGACTGTTATATTTCGTCCGATCTTATATAGTCCCCACATGTGGTCATCAGGCTTGATATCTCCCCCATCTTCCGCAGCCGAACGGCGTTAGCGAGGCCGAGACCCTGGCCCAGCCGCGGCATCAAACAAGTCGTTGAACGGATCTTCCATATCCCTGACAGCACTATAGCGGCCCTCCAGTGTTACGGGCTTGGAAGACAAAGACACACTCGATCCCCTGCGCTGAACAGGCGCGACAAGAATTCCATGCCGTTCCTTTGCTTCCCCCGCTTCCTCGGACTTCTCGTCATTGTCGATATGGCCGAGACTGCCCTCGCGTCTGCACACACAAGTTAAGTCACATTCTTGCAGGGGCCCGTCATTTCTCTCCTCTGCATGGACACCTGAATAGAGGCGCCGAGGAGGGGGGTTCTCTTCCTCGGTTTCGTCCTTGTCGTCTGAATCTACTGATGCTGTACGACTTTCGGCGCTCGAGTGCGTGAAGCAAGCTGCTCAGGTCTGTGAAGCGAAGCACAGTTTGCGACTGTGCAGATTTTCGAGGAGCAGAAACCTAAAGACGGAACGGGGGATGCTGTCATGCTGCGAGGAGGGAAATCTCCACCAGAAGCTCCTTCACTGGCACCAACGCCAAGGCGGCGCGGTGATCGAGCCTTGTCGCGAGCGAGATGGGGGACGAAACATGGCGGGTCGATGTACATCGATGAAGAGACGATGACCGGTCTTGCCGCGGCGGCATCCGCGGTCGTGAGACCGCCGTCTTTGTCTCTGGATGCTGTGCTCGGGGTTGCGAGGGTGTCGGGTGTCACTCCGACCTCGGATGCTGAGCTTGGTGTAGCTGACGAAGTCGCGGGGGTCGCGCTGCTGGGGCTGAACGGGGGTGCCACGGGGTCGAGGGCAGGCGTCTCGGGGGCGTTGCCGGGGTGCTGGCGCCGGGGATATTGGAGGGGAACGGGAAGCTGGTTCTGGAAGAGGGGGTAGAAGTCGCCGTCTTGCACTGGGTCGGCTTCTTCTGGGGTGTACCTGGCCGGCTGCTTCTTTTTGCGTTTGGCCTATTCATGTTAAGTTAATTTGGGACAAGATGGTCATGGTCAATTGACATACATTCGACCCATTCGTCATGACTTATACGTGAATGAAACGGTGTAGAGTGCACAGATTGACGCCACGGAGCAAAGGTCCAGAAGACGTTTTGCACAGCAGTGAAATCCCGCGATACTGGTGCTGCTGATGAGACACGGGAAGGTCCCAAGAGTGCAGAGAAGACATGCAGTGCACATTACTCTCTATTTATTGACTTGGAAAATGGTACTAGGAACCCTGAAGATCGAAGTTTGGAAGGCATAAACCTTCTGAGCCACACCTTTCTCCGATGCTCTCAGAATCAGGGAAGCTTAGATACATGGATCACAATGGAGTGTTCAATTCAGCCTCGATGTCCAATCCCGTCATGAAGTCGTCCTGAAGCAATATTTCTGTATAGCTGCTCGCAACTCATATTGATACCTAGAAATGATTCGTTCGGCGAGACGGTTTGCTACCATCATGTTGAGATTCGAACCTTCAACCAGACTTTCGGCCAGCCTATCCCGAGGCTCACGCACCCTGAAGGCCGGCTCGTGACGAGCCGGCGTCTGGAGCCCGACGAGATGGCTGAGCTGCTGCAGGGCTGAGCCGTAACGTGCTGCCGGAGGAGCTTTCTGGCCAGGGCCAGCATCAACGTTTGATCATATTTGTACTGTGCAGAACTGCCACGGGACTACGGTGGCTACATGGCCCATACTCGTTGTTGATTTCAAGTCGGACTCATAACGAGCATGCTTACTCAACATGGCCTCAATATGCTCAACGACCGAACCCCAGTATTCCGTCACACCGTATGTGAATCCTCAGATGCAGCCAGAAAAAGAGAGCGCCAGCCAGGACCGGATTCATCCATCTATTGACCGTCTATCTCTAGCCACTCATGTAAGAGACCCTCTGGAAACATGCCACACAAGGCACTGGTATACTATGTCCAAGGCAAACGACTCTCATAAAATACTGACACACTGGCGCCTCGACCCTCCTCGCCAAGACCGTCTCCTCACTCAGGCCATGTGGGGTGACGCCCAGCAAGCCCCAGGCCTCAATTCTTCTTCCCAGCCTTCGCCTCCAGCCTCTGGACGGCAGCAATAGCCCTCGTCGAGGCGACGGCGCTGCGCAGGATCAGAGTCACGGGGATGAAGAACCAAAAGGCGTTGAGGAAGACGTAGTAGCCCCAGTAGTAGTAGTTCTCGGGGCGGGAGTAGTCGCGGCCCCACACGACATTGTCGTACTCAAAGGTGGCGTAGTAAAGGACGACGCCGTAGAGCTGGCCGAGGCTGATGATGCCCTGCAGGCTGTGGCGGGCCGGGTGGCGGAGGACGATGGCGGCGGCGCAGAGGAAGCACAGGGGGCCCCAGACGAAGGCCGTGACCGTCTCCATGCAGACGACAAACGAGTCCTGCGTCAGGTAGCGCGAGTCGGAGAGGGCGTACTCCTTCCAGAGCTGGCCGAGGACGGTGAGGCTGGGGCCCATGCGGGCTGAGTTGATGGAGAAGTAACCTAAATCAAAGGAAGTGGACAGTGAGAAGAGTGAACCCTCACGAGTGAGGCCTCATTGGGGGGGCTTCACGCACCTTCGAGGCCGAGGTGGATCGAGCCTGAGACGATGAACCACATGGCCGTGGAGACGTCGCCCGTGGACAGGTTCGGCCGCAGGCGACGAATGAGCAGGAGCGTGGGCAGGAGAATGGCAACGCAGGTCGATGCGAAGATGGTGAGAATGGTCAGGGTCGACATGGTGTTCTCGACGTAGTCATTGACAATGGCATCGAGGGGGTGGAAGGGGTGAACGGGCAGACCAAGGGCCGATGCCACGGTTGAGTCGTTGAGGCTGGCCATGATGGCGTCTTGGGCCCAAGATGACGAGGCCGGAGAGGAGGAGGTCGTTCGGAGAGAATGCTACCAAGTACCCAGGTGTGTCGAGAGAGCTGGGTTGGTGGTTTGAGGGGGCGGTTCGCGGCTGAGAAAAGCAAAGTCAAAGATGGCCTGGGGGGAAAGGCCATAGAGACCAGACGAGGCAGCCTAAAAGTACTTAGGTTTGAATGGAGGCCCCTCCTCTATGCAGGTACACGTGCAGAGGAGTAGCCTAGGTCCATCCATTCTATCGACCGACCTCTCAGCAATTCCCTTCCCACCTAGGAATCTGTGTCAGGGGTTACGTTCAACAGGGGCTGAGCAGGAGGGAGGGTTCGTTGGGTGATGTGGGTTCGAGGTTGAGGTACTGGGTACGAATGCGAGAGGACTCCAGCAACCCCCAGCACGCCCTAGCACGCGCCCCAGCAATTCGGGCGATATGACCCCTGCTTCACAGCAAGGTGCCTTCCCACAACAACGCTAAGCCACGGGGCATCGTAGCGCCTGTTTGTTCACTGGGGCAGGCAATGGGCCCTCTGGGGGCTCTCTGGGGGCACGAGGAAAGAAGGAGCCGCCAAGTGCCAGCTGGGCGCCCCTAAACGCCTTGGCACCATCATAAGGCACAGCACAGATAACTTGTTAGGTACAAGATTTGCCATTATCCGCGGGGAAAAGAGAGTTCGGGGAGGGGGATGGGCGAGGGCGTGGAGATGAGGCTCAGCAGTGGGCAAATGGCATGCGCGGATTTCGACAGACGAATTTCGACAGTTTTGCGCAACTTTGTACTTTTCTTGCCTCGTTACACATTACTAGGTAGTCTGACCTATATTACAGTACAAAGAACCTATGTTACGTTAGGTAGGTAACGAAGAAGTATGTTACTTTTAGAAATGCTTTTTCACCTTTAAGAAATTTAACCCTTACCTCTCGGCCTTTCAGTAGCAACTTAGTTCCATGTGATGCAACCTTGTCAAAGCATCGCACAAGTACTGTGTACCGTGTACTTCTGACCTCGCGGGGATGAGTCGAGGAGGGGATCGAGGGCCTCGGGCTTGGTGTGGCTTCGAGCACTAGCCCTGACCTATCTTCATTTGCGTCGTCAATGGCAGGGGGGTTTGCGATGATTGCGCTGGTGCCTTCATCTCTTCTCAGCCTTCATTCTGCCCTTGTGGTCCGCTGAGCTAGCACCGCTGAGCACTGAGCTACATAGTACCTACCTTTGATAGCGAACCGACGAAACGAGTCAAGCGACGCGCATCGCCGGACCACGATGATTGAACTTCGGACGATTGGCTTGCAAAGCGCGACGCCAGCAGGAACCTTTGCAGCTGGTGCACAGGTCTCCAACTGAGCGGCGCTCCCAAACGCTATGAATAGCACCATGGTGCTCATTGCTGTGAACTACTCTGACGGTCAGTCAGCACAAGACCGGCAGCTGCCAGAGATGTCAGTCGGGGCGTCCCTGTGTCAGGGCGCGACGTGTCAAAGGCCCTGTCTTTGTTGCGGATTCGTCTGGGTTGGTTTGGGGGCATGGGCCTTCGGGTGTTCCTAGCGTGGAATGAGACGAAAAAAAAGAAGCCGTTGTCAGAGATGAAATAGAAATGCAATTTCTTTCATCCCAGGCTGGCTGGAGCTCAAGGGATACCGACACCAACAAGGCGAGGGGGACAGGAGCATTTGCCCCAAGCCAAGGGACCACCACCACGCACTGTCTGCTTTGGGCGAACCTTGTCCAGTGGCCCCGTTTTGCAGCCAGGGTGTCGAAAAACCTGCCCTGTCAACTGGAGGTGAGGAAAGAAAAAAAACGAGGCAAGAAGATGGCTTCGTTTCCGACGTGCCAGCATGCTTGCGGGGGACCTGATCGATCCAACGGGACGGATCGATTAGAGAGAACGTTGCACGCAACAGAGTGGCAGCAGATGTGCCCAGATACCAGACAGACACGGCGCCCACGCACGCGAGATTGCGGACAATGTCTCGCTCGTCGTGGCCAGAGAATGAGGTCAATACAGTGCGGACCTCCGGTACTGAATGGGGGACTCCGCCCAGGGCGAGACTCGACGACATCGTCAAGCCGCAATGGGCACGGTACAGTGCAGGCGCGTTGCAAAGCCGTCTCTTCATTCCTTCAGCAAAGCAAGGCCGATGTCTTGCCTGCTGCTTCAGAGTTGGATGAGGTCACTTTGAGTTCCTCGGCGCCCGCGCGCGCGCGCCCCTACCGCCAAGCTACCGAATTCCAGGGAGCGTCTGTGCCCCCCTGACAGTGCGGGCCGCTGTCTTATCGGGTACTTTGCCCTCATGTTGTGGACACCGACTGCAGCGCTGGCCTGACTGTGACGAGGCGGACGGCGAGATGAGCGAGTGAGTCGGACATGGCCTCAAGAGACATGCAATAAACTTTCGATCCGTCTTCAGAGGTCAATCTCGAGAGACCTTGGCAGGTGACCTAGCTGGAGGTACCTAGGTAGGTACTTAAGGTACCTACGTTCCTAGGTAGATGGTACGTACCGGTCCGTCTCAATTCCTCGAGCGCGGCAAGTGGACCCAAAGCTTCGCATTTGGCCAGCCAAGCACGAGGGAGAGCAGAGACCAAGGCACTGCAGAATGCGCCTGCCTCCGTTGGACGCATGCTACAGCGTCGCATTGGAGCAGAGGCAGGAAGACCCCGTGGAGCATGGAGCACGCACCTGCAATCGGCACCTGTGCCAGTGCCTCCCTGAGGTGGAGGTGAGGTAAGTAGTACCTTGGGTGAGGTGAGGATGGCCCTTCAAAATTGCAACATCAACCTCCCTCCGCCATACTATCACACGTTTCTCCCTCGCCTGACAAGACTCCTGGCTCCTAACTCCTAACTCCTGGCTCCTGGCTCCTGGCTCTTGACACTCAACGCCCGACGACGGCGACCTCTCCATCGTCTTCACGCCCCACCGCTCGCCCATCCATGCGGAGCCCCTCCACCGCGCCTCGTCTTGCCGCGCCACAATCACCCGCCGACCGCGTCGTCCCGAGAAAGGCGTGCGCCTGCGACTGCGAGGACATGACACCATCGCGGCCGCGTACATAGCACACGACAGCGCCAGCGGCGACCGACGACCCTCTCCCGACGACAGTCCTCTCGCCCGCCTCTGCGACTGCGAGTCACACATTCCCTTGGCGCCTGACTGACGGTCCGATCGATCGACTGAGCGACGCCTTCTGGGCTTCCCTCGACAAGCCATGTTGTCCCATCTTCGCTTCCACCGACGCGGCCCCTCGAACCCCTCGTCTCCCAACCCTGACCAGGCGGCGGCCCCTTCTCCCTGGGAGCACTCCCCCTCCAACACGCAACCTCCCTTCCTCCAGCAAGATGTGCCCTCAAATGACGCCCGCTCCCCGTCTGTCGCCGTCTCGTCGCCCGCTCTGCCCCCCACATTGCCCCCCATCACCCGCGTCACCTCGTCCGAAGCCGAATCCCAGCTCGACTACATTCCAGCCCCAGATCCAAAGGCGTCCCTGTCCCGCCAATCGGTCAAGTCGCCCTTAAAGACGAGTCTGGCTTTATGGGCGGCGTAGCCTTGCAAAAATATCGCCGCGAACAACAGCAGCAGCTGCTGCTCTTACAGCAACACCACCAGCAACACCAACAGCAGCAACAGCAGCAACAATCACCCCAACCGCAGACCACGAAAAAGCCAGACACCCTCAACGTGTACACGCACACGCTTGCGCCGACATCACCAAGTGCTGGACCTGCCCCCCGCACAACCGCACAAGAGTCTCGCCCAGCACTTCCAACGTCACAGACACAACCCCAGCATCAAGCCATCTCCGGTCGACGCCCGCCCGCCGCAAGGCTCGCCACCGAGCCGAGCCCCGTGCTTGCTGCTCCCAACAACGATATCGAGGTATCCAAGGGCAGGAGAGCCTTGCCGTTCCTCAAAAACCCCATGTCGACCCTATTGATGCGTCGGAGCAAGACGAATCACAACGCGCCTGAAGTCACGCCTCTTCCTCTGAACGAGAGCTTCCGTCAGCCTTCCTATGACCCCCGCATCAGAGGTACGCGTGTTCACGACTTCAGCGCACCCCGCTCGACGCGCAGACCCGTGCCATCGCCCTTGCCCGACCAGATCGATGGAGATGACCAGGCAGGTCTTTTCAAAACGTCTTCCAGAGATGGCTCGCGTGACCTCTCGACCCAGGGCAGGCATAAAAGCAATGCTTCCGACTCTGGTCAGTCCGGGTCGTTCGGAACCGCTTCTCAACTGCTTCCCGACGCCGGCAGCATCGCCTCGAATAAGACGAGGAGCAGCTCAAACCTGGACAAGAAGCCCCTGCCTGAGCCACCAAGCGTGCCAGAGGAGAACATTCCTCCCTCTGTTCGCTCCACCTCATCAGCTTCCAGGGTAGCGCCGAACGAGGCTGTGACCGCACTGAGAGCTTCGGCTCCGTCCACGAGAACCAATCGATCCCGAAATGCATCCATTGGCACCCTTTCCGGCAAAGATGTTCTATCTTCTGTGCCTCGCCATATGAAGAGCACATCCTCTAGGTTCAGCTTTGATATGGTTGGTGCAGCCAAGCAGGAAAAGCTGCTGGAGGAGAGGCATCGACAGCGCGAATTGGAAAAGAAGACGAACGAGCCCGAGTCTGATACGATCCGCGACTCGAGGTTTGATGACTTCGACGAGGATGGCTTCGACTATGATGCCATGATGGAAGACGATGGTCTTGAGGAGCCAATCCCAATGGCTGACGATGACTATGGCTATGATGACGGGTTCGAAGAGCCTATCCCCATGTCTCACGACGATTACGATGATGGCTTGGAAGAGCGTATTCCCATCAAGTCGGACGAATACGACGTGGATGAGGAGCCCGTTCCCATGACCGACGATGACTACGATGAGGATGAAGAGCCCTTTCCCTACGAGAACCTCCTAAGTAGCAAACTCCCAGCAGAGACCCTGCCTGCCGCCGAGGCCGAGGCCGAGGCCGAGGCCACGAAGGACCCTGACGACGACCAAGAGAACTTCGCCGGCTTTGTCTTCCAACGCTCAAATCCGACTTCCGAGCTTGCCACCCCTCGAAGCGCGGGGTTACTCATCACCCCACGGGATGCAGATGGCAAGGTCATTGGTTTCGCCATGTCAAGCACGCCCGGGCTGCCAGCCACCGTATCCCCAGGACTTCCCGCCGAATCGCCTCTGCCATCGGATTGCGACCACGATGTGGCCGGCCTGGGAATCCGAGGTCTGAATCTGGCCGACCACACCGACTCCTTGGCAGTGGAGCAGACCAGCGTTTCGGAGCACACTACGACAGCCGATGATCCCACACCGGTAGGCCCGCCAGCAAGAAAGGATGATCTCTACTTCGATGGTGGGCTGCTGGATGAGATGGAGTTTGCGGGCGAAGGCGATGGCTCGACGTTTGATGAATCCATCTTTGATATGATCGACACGGATAAGTACGGACGTCCGATCCCAGGCGCGTTTGCCGCCGCTCAGGCATCCCGGCAAGCCTCACAAGCGGCGGTCGAAGCAGCGGCGGCGGAGGAGCAGAGCAAACGCGTCTCGGACAGCACTTCCCGACTCTCGGCACTTTCCGAAGCGGACCCGTCCACTGCGCATACATCTCTGAGCGTCGGCGTCCGGCACTTGTCTGGTGCCAGCCACGAGGGCGAGGGGCTCTCGTCCGAGGGGCTCTCGTCCGACGGAGCCTCGGCACTGACGATCCCTTGCCCCGAGCAAGACAAGATGGCCGTCTACCAAGCAGCTCTGGCCGCTGCGGCAAACGAAGCGGCGGCGAACGGCAAGTTTCGGAGGGACTCATCTCCTCCGCCAAGCGAGATCATGTCGGCCGGTCCAGAGCTCTCCCAAGATTTCACGGACGACTCTCACCTGGACACTGTTTCGTTTGACGATTATGAAGACGATTATACGCAGGACATGGACGGGTATGATTTTGACGACGACGCTATCATTGCCGAGGCCAACGCAGATGCACTCGCCAATGACGGGGACGGCTGGTACGGATCCGAGTTCGGCTTTTACTCTACTCCAGGCCCCCAACGTCACAGCAGGGATAACTCTAACGAAAAGACGTTTGAATACTCCAACGGGGGCTTCTTTGGACCCTCGGGCGTCAACAGGTCCAAGTCGGGACGTGTTGTGTCCCGCGAGCCCAATCTGACACCGATTACGGAACGTTCAGAGTACTCTAACCGCAATTCGATCATGAGCCTTGCCGTGCCGCCCCTGGGCTCCGGCCCATCCAGTCTTGCGAGCCCTGGGCTGGCTCAACTGGCCATGATGGCCGATGGCGACGACAACATGAACCTGTCGGCGCTGTTGCGACTGCGATCCAGGGCGTGGGGTGGGTCGCAGATCAGTCTCAACTCGAGTCGCGAGGGATCACCAATGTCGGAGCGCGCAGACGGTGCGAGCTCGCCGTGGGGATCGATGCCGCCAAACAGTTTTCTCAGCACTACGGACACGGGCGCAAGAACTCATCCTTCTCCATGCGCAGTCGCGACGTGGACTCGTCCGAAGCCGGCAGTGCGTGTGGCTCGCCCACGCTGACCATGTCGATCCCCATGATGAGCTCGCCGCTCCCGCCGCTTCCGTCCATGATCCCAACGAGCCCGCTCAGCTTCTCGGCGTCAAACAATAATGCGCCATCGTACCTGTCGTTCCACGAGCCGGTGTTACCGTCCATCGAACAGGATGGCGAGTCCTCTACGTTCAGCAACACGGCGAGTCCTGAGTTCCAGAGCCCCGACTTGTCGCACCCGAATCTCTCTTCGCCGCCGTCGAATGCGTCGTCATCGCGCAGACCAGGACTGGGCCACAAGCACAAGGGCTCGGCCGACAGCATCTCCTACATCAAGGAGGAGGATCGAGGCGAGTCGCGGTGGATCTTGGAGAGGCGTTACACGGCGGAAACGGGGCAGGTCGAGGTGGAACGCGAAGTCCTCGAGAAGGGGCGCATCTGAAAAGAGAGACGTGTGCTGCCTCGGCGTACCGGAGAGTCTATTGCTTAGGGTATTCTTGGGCTGGCGAAGCCCATGAGCCGGCTTGTGGAAGATGTCGCATTAGTAGGGATTGGGAAGGAGTTTTGCCTTTTGGAAATTTGGAAGAAAAAAGCTGACGAGGCTTGATGCACAGCATGGCGTGGCGAGCGTGTGAATACCCCGTGGACCTCTCAGCAGCACTTGGGAGTTTGGACAACATGGATCAATTGGCTACATATACATATACACCGTGGGGAGGGGCTAATGAACCAACATAGACTTGGGGCGCAAGCAAATGGAAATGCACAATTCGAGTGCTGCACACGATCAGTCGTCATATTTCTGGAATCCCACCATCGTGTACGTGCCGAAAGAGGCGAACCGACAACAGGCCACAATGGACATTCATTTGTCGATGACAGGGCAGCGCATGAAGGGGCGATCGGGTCCCCGGCGCAGTCACGCGGACGTCTCGGAAATCTGCCAAGGGCTGCCAAACTGGGCAAATTCGGTAGTTGAGCCTCCGAAAGCCACTTCACGACGACCCCGCGACGGACCCCCGGACCTGGCTCGAAGCGGCGCGCAACCACAGATCCGCGGCTCGGATGGTTACGCGGCTGCTGCCGACACGCGAGCTTTGGGTCGACCCCTCGGTCGGGGTCTGGCGTTTTTATTTTAATTTTCTTTTTGGAGAACTGGAGAAACGTGTCATGACCTAGCTGTTCGTGTTCCTACAAGAAGAGCGCGCCGGAGCTCGTGATGGCTGTGGTGACCTGTCCCCCCCCTCCCCTCCTCCCCTCTTCCTTTGCTCTCTGTTCTGCTATTCACTCTGTCCTAGACGGTTCAAGCACTGCTAGACGAAGCTTGTGACCAATTGACCTCTCGCCTGCTCCCGAACGAGAGACTGATACCGCCTCTCGCCATGTCGCCCGCCATGACGAAAAAAGCCCAGGCCGTTCTGGCCCTCCTCGCCGCCTCA